GGGTGGAGTTTGGGGCGGCTCCAGGACAGGTGACCAGCACGCCGCGACTGCCAGCTTGGGGAATTCATGTGGAAGGGGCTTTCCAAAGCTACATGAGATACAGAGGATTGGGGGGCGGCTTGGCTCCCTGAAATAGGGTCTCTTCCACTAAAGAGTAGCTCTTGGATCTGTTTCCTCTCTCGAGATGAGGTGACCCCAGGATGTATCCCAGGATGTGAGCTGGGCCAGCCCTCCAGCACCAGGTTATTGGGGGTGGGAGGTTGGAAGGAGGTCCGAGCCAAAAGCTGGACAAGGTGTTAGCTTGCCTGCAGGCAGCAGGCTGGGCATGCGGTCCCCACACCACCCCTCCCTGGGTAGAGCCTTATGAGTTGCCCTGATGGCACCCTCTCCCCGGCCCTGACTGTGGGGTCTGACCCAAGGAGCAGACGCCCACCATTCGGGATGGCAGTGCCAGGAGTCAGGCTGGCACACTGCTCCCAGCATCCGGAGTTCCGGCTCCATCTCCAGCTGGGGGTGGAGCTTGTGACTGCCATCTCTACAGCCTATTGAGAGGGCCTTGTGCAGGCAGGCAGGGCAGGCAGGGGCGAGGTCTGGGCGCGTCCCAGAGGGAACCAGGTGTCCAGACCGTCTGCATCTGCTGACAGAGGGCAGGGATGGGTGGTGGCCTTTAAGTTTGGGGAGGAGACAGATGATGTGAGGCTGTTCCCAGGGGCCTGGAGCCCTTCCCAGAGTTCTGGTTGGTACCCCGCTTTGTCCCCCACCCCAGGATCTCCAGGGGTCTGAGTGCAGAAGTGTGTCCACAGGTCTACAGGGCAGACCAGCCTGAGGTCCCCTATGTGGGTGGAATCCACTATGAGCAGGAGGCCGACTGAGGTTCCCTGGGAGGGCAGGGGCCAGGATGCCAAAGAGGCCAGAATTCCTTGTAGGAAGAAAGCTGGCCAACTGGGGAGGCTAGCCTGGAGCAGGGAAGAGCTGGAGGGGGCTCCAGGAGGTGGGTGCCTGGGGACAGAGTTTCAGCACAGGTTGCTGGCATGGCTTTCCTGAAGCCAGAGGAGTCCTCCATCACTGGGAGTTTAGGCAGAGGCTGGGCGCTGTAGAGGTGACTCAGGCAGGTGATCAGGGGGTGAGGCTTGAAGCTTGAGTTTCTATGAGTTTGTGACCCATCCTGGTCAACGGATTGTCCTTAATCCTCATCATGTACCTAACCGCCATGACCTATTCCTCCAGACAGACAGCTGAGTGGGGCAGTCCCCTCTCAGGAGTTCCCCGTCCACCCTCACCCCATCCCCAGGCCAGGAATCCCCAGCTATGCCCCTTGTGACTTGTGACTGGTGTCTGGAGATGGCCCTGGAGAATGGAGGGACATGCACTAGGAAGCACTCACTCCGAGTTCAAGGGGGACTGCAATGCTAGCCTCCAACAGAGGAAACAGGAGTGGGAGAGGCCAGTGCCCAGACTCCCATCAGGGTCCCACCCTGTGTGCCCCCAGGGGCTTTGTCCCGTCCTGCGTGTTCAGTGGTCACTCAGCCCTTCCCCGACCACCCCCAGGTCTTCGCCTTGATCGTGTTCTCCTGCATCTTTGGCGAGGGCTACAGCAACACCCACGAGTCCCAACAGCAGTACTGCGTGTTCAACCACAACGAGGATGCCTGCCGCTACGGCAGTGCCATCGGCGTGCTGGCCTTCCTGGCCTCCGCCTTCTTCTTCGTGGTCGATGTCTACTTCCCCCAGATCAGCAACGCCACTGACCGCAAGTACCTGGTCATCGGCGACCTGCTCTTCTCAGGTATCTGCCGGCAGTACCTCCGTGTGGTCTTGGGGTGAACCGGAGCAGTGGTATCCCCGGACCTCTCTGGAAGACCGGCTGCTGAAACGCGCCGGTGCTAGTGGGGCGTTGGAGCCAGGCCTCCAGAGCTGGAGTTCTGTCTCCACCCTGGCTCCTGCATTGGTGCCCTTTACAACCCTGAAAGCTTCCCCCTCCCCCTAGAAGGCCCCTGCCCTTCTGCCTCTGTGGAGTAACCCTGCACCCCTGGCCCTCTCCCCAGCTCTCTGGACCTTCCTGTGGTTCGTTGGCTTCTGCTTCCTTACCAACCAGTGGGCAGCCACCAAGCTGGAAGATGTGCGGGTGGGAGCCGACTCAGCCCGGGCCGCCATCACCTTCAGCTTCTTTTCCATCTTCTCCTGGGTAGGTGGACCGGAGCGGGCATGGGTCCTGGTATCTTTGGTGAAGGGTGGTGGAGGGCTGAGGACCCAGACCTCTGGGCTCTCTGCAGGGTGTGCTGGCCTCCCTGGCCTACCAGCGCTACAAGGCCGGAGTGGACGACTTCATCCAGCACTACGTGGACCCCACTCCAGACCCCAGCTCGGCCTACGCCTCCTACCCCGGTGGGCCTCCCGACAACTACCAGCAGCCACCCTTCACCCAGAACGCCGAGACGGCCGAGGGCTACCAGCCGCCTCCCGTGTACTGAGCTGCAGCTGGGGCTGGTAAGGGGAGCTGGGAGGGCACCTGGGGGCCTCCCCTCCTCCTGGACTCCTCCTCAGAGGCTTGTCCCCAGAACTGCTGGCCACTTTCGTCCAGCCTGTTGGAGCTGACGCCGGGCCTGGAGAGAGAGCGCCTGCCTCGCCAGCCCCGGCCGCCCAGAGCCCTGGCCTGACCTGCCTGTGCCCCAAGGGCGCCTCAAGGGCATTTTTTAGGAAAGGGTTTTCAGTTAGACATGTTCTGTCATTGCTTTTAATGATCCCCAGCCCCGCCCGGAGTAGCTCGAAGTGCCTAACGCGCTGTTTGTCAAGTGCCTTAGCTTCTCCCCAGCCCAAAGGCGCCAGGCCCAGGTCCAGGCCCCACGGCCATGGTCAGGTCACTTGGGGTTCTCTGCCAAAGACGAGGTGGGGCCTTCCCCCCGTCCTGCTGCCGGCACTGGGCTGGGGCTCCTTCCTCCTCACTCAGGTTCCTTCCTGCCGGCTGCGCCCCCAGCCCCCTGCCTGCTCTGGGAGCCGGCAGCCCTGTGTTCACTGCTGTGGTGTCAGCTTGCTCTTGATTCTGGGGTCACGACCCCGTGCCAGTGCCTCTGAGCCACCTTCCTGACAGCTGAGGGGCAGGGCTGGTGCCCGCCGCAGGGGGCTCGGGCCACACCTCCCCGTCCCTGCTCCCAGCCCTTGGCCCCTGGGAGGGGCTTTGCCTGACGGACAACACCCAGCTTTATGTAAATATCCTTGTCAGTTAGGTGTGGGGCGCACCCACGGCCCCCAGGCAGTCGTGAATGTATTACAAAGCCTTGGGGGAGGACGCACAGCAGCCTTGGATTCTGTTAGACTAATTTTGGAGATGGAATAAATGTTTTCCTCATTCATAATCTTCATTGTCATCGGTGGGGCCTCTGCCTAAGAGCAGGAGGAAGAGAAATTCCACTCTGAGGTACACCCTCAGGCCATGGCCTTGTGGAACTTGTATTTTGAACAAAGTCATGGCAGTCTGCCCCTCCAGTGTGCCCAGTGACTGCCCTCTTCCCCCATCTGGGGTCTCATTGCTCACACTGCCCTCCATCAACATCTTAAAATAGCAGCTGTGCTCAGCTCGTAAACAAGACGGTCGCTCTGGGCTGCCCTGGCAGGGTCCTGCTGCTCCAGTGCTGGAGGTGACACAGGGGCACCTGGGGGCTGCTCCTCTGTGGGCCCCTTCCCCTGTCACCCTTCCCATCCTGCCCCTACAGCAGAGTGAGGGGTCCCAGGGGAGGGGCTGGGGTCCTTTTTTTTCCTGCAGACAGGGCTCAGCACCTCTGCAGCCTGTCCAGGGGACACAGGGAGCCCACCCTGGGGAGCGAGCCCGGCTAGGGCAGGAGAGGCCCAGGCCCCAAGGCAACTCCTGGCTTCCCCTTTTGATCAGTGTCAGAGGAAACTGTGACAGTGGGCCCCCATAGTTTCAAAATCCTGAGTGAAAACTTAGAAGGTTTGGGAATTATGGTCTCACTGCTGCACTGCACCTGGGACCAGCCTCTACAAAGGGGAGGAGAGCAGAGGGAAGGGGAAGCTGGGGACCGGACTGTCTGCACCGGGCACACCTACTGCCCAGCCCCACTCCCCCCCGACTGGGCACGCTCGCCGCCACGCACCCTGCCCACAGCCCATTTCCCAAGGGACAGCTGAGCTGGTCTTCTTGGCTCCTGAACTGCCAGGTGTCTGTTTCACAAACAAAACCTGACCTCACAGCCCCAGCTGGCTGCACAGACCAAGGCTTCGTCTTTCCAGCCTGGGCCTCAGGCTCCTCTGTCCCTGTCTCGTCCTGAAACCCGCCCGGACGGAAGAGCGAGCATTCTTCTTAGGACACGCTTCATGATCATGCGTCATGATCGTTTCTCTGTTAAAAAGGGTTGTGGCTAAGAGATCAGTAAAACTAGAAAAAGATTTAGAAAGAAATCCCCAGACCTAAATCATGGCAGAGTTGTCTACAGTGAGACCCGGGGAATCCCAGACAGTTAAAGAGAAATGTACTTTTGCCAACCAGTAAATTTTAATAATTAGTTATTAATTTCACATGCTACAACAGAAAAAATCATAGCCCCTCCCCAAAAGACAAGCCCCTGGGATCTGAGCCCCAGCAGGGCACATAGGAGAAGCTGGAATCCTGGAGAAAACGATCACCAGAGCAAGAAGGGAAGCAAGAGAACACAAGTGCAGCCAATCCCCAATGGGCTGGGAGCCTGTCCCAGGCAGAGGGACCAAGTCTTTGCGTGGGACGAGGCTAGGCGCCAAGCCAGAGGTGCGAGTGCATGGAGTTCCCAGTGAGAACAGAAACTCAGCAGCAAAGCCACAAAGAGGAAGAAGCCAGCAGCACCGGCCCTCACCCCAAGGGGGAGGGAGGGAGGGAGGGACATCTGCGGGGGCCAGACCCCGCACCACAGAGCAACCCAGCTCTGGCCTCTGGTGGGCTGTGAGCCGCCCAGCAGCTGGGAAGGGAACTGAGAAAGGCCAGTGGGCGGCAAGGAGGGAAATGTGGCGTGTGGACACCGAGCCGGGAAAGGGTGCTAGTGAAACCCCCAACCCCAGCTTCCTCCACGGAGGCCGCACAGCACACAGGGGGCAGGTGTACGGCAGGGGGCGGCAGCAGGCCCCGGGGCAGGTGGCTGGTCCCAGGTAGCGGATCCAGCACCTCAGTTGGCCGGGCCGCACTGCAGGATCTGATGAGGGGCAAACAGCTTCCGGGCTCCCGGGGGCCTCCCCGGGTCTCCCCAGCACCGGGCAGTTCTCTTTGTTCTCCGTGCCGTCCAGCCAGGCAGGCTGCCCCGACGATGCCTTCTTGAAGTAGCAGAGGCGGCACACAGAGTGGTACTTGTCTGCTCCTCCGATCACCTCGACCTGGCCATGGGACACGAGGCACCTGGACTGAGCGGGGACATGGCACCCCCGGCTGCACCCGCCCCCAGGAGAAGGCAAGGAGGGGCTACCTCTTTCTCCACGCCCAGCCTCTTGGTGTAGGCAGCTTCCCGGAAGCACTCCATGCACACGGCTGTCAGCTTCACCACGCTCTCAGCCAGGGGCACCAGGTTCAGAATGGTCCCGAAAGCCTGTGTTCCCACAGAAAGACCGGTGTACACTCACCTCCAGAGGTGGGCTTTTCCTTGAAACCCTCTGACTTACAGCACTGACACCAGGAAGCTAGGCCTTGACCTCGCCTATCCCTCAGTACCACCGCCCACAGCAGGTGGACCCAGTCTGGGGCAAACCAGGGGTCAGGATCTGGCTCACCTGAGTGCCTGGGCTTGGGCACGACACAGTTTGAGCAGCTCCAAGTGCTCCCAGAGCCAAGCCACAGGCCCCTTCCTGCCTCCAGGGTTCAACCAAGGGCCAGACCAGACGGCCCTTACCTTCCTCTGGAAGGTCCCATCCAGTGCAGCCACAATCACAGTCTTCCCGGCGTTGGCCATGGTCTCGCTAAACTCCACGATGTCGGGGAACTAGGAAGGGTGAGAGGAGGAGGGTGAGTGTCCACCCTGGGCAGAGCTTCTGGGGCCACGGAGAACTCACTGCCAGACCCGACGGTCCCAGCCACCAGCATCGATCAGCGTGGCGCACGAGCTCGGGGTGGCCCCAAGCCTCCCACCCAGCACACAGCCTGCGTGTCCACTGTCCAGGTGGTCCACCACTCCACCAGCTTCCCACGACAACACCAGGTCCTGCTCCGTGCGAGCACCTGGACCTGTCACCAGGATGCCAGCCCGTCTGGAGAAACGTCTACCACCGCAGGGGTCAGATGCTCCGACCAGAGGCTGCCTTGGGCTTGAACCATGCTCTTGGCTGGACCCATTAGCTATGTGACTTTGGCAATGACTACGTTCCTGAGTCTAAGAAAAGGCAAGGAAGGCCCTTGGTGTTTAAGGATTAAAGACCCTCAAATAATTTCTCACATGTGCTATGCGGCCGATAGGCAGGCTTTGTGTGTTTGCCCCCCGCCTTAAACATAACACGCTGTGTGATGCCCTGAGAGGAGGCTGGGGTTCCACTGGCCCTTACGGGGCAGGACGGCCCAGCACAGCCTTCTAAATAGGGGGCCTGCAGAGAGGTCACTTCCTTGGTAAGTCAGATTTCATTCCAGCCGCATCCCCTGACCCAGAGGCTCCACACGACCACATGCACAGCTCTGCTGTTTCTCTAAAGGAGTCATCACAGGTCACAGAAATGCAGCCCACAGCCCCGCCGCCGTGCTCACAAACAGCTGTGTCCAGACATTGCCAGATAGCCCCGGGGTGGGGGTGGGGACAGAACCGGCCTGAGCATCCCTGTGCCTCACCCTCCCTGTCGAGGCCCCGTCAGGACACGGGTCCTTCCACATCAGCGCTGGGGGCCTCGGAGGGTCCTTGGCCCCGCCCATCTCAGCAATGCCCACGGTCAGAGAGCTCAACTCTTCCACCCAAACTTTGTCCCCTGTCCACATGCACCCACCCCCAACCAGAAACACTGCACCCTGGACCCCGCAGGGGCTCCTGGGTGACCACAGGTGAGGACAGAGCTGCCTGGGTTGTCTGCACATCTCGAGATGCCCACTGGTAACTATGGCGTTGCTGGCATTAGTTTTTATTGCCATTCGTGTTTTAGGTCACATTATGGGTTGAATTATGTCCCCTCCTGCCCCTCAAATCCGTATGTTGAAACCCTAACTCCCAACACCCAGAATGTGGCCTTCTTTGGAGAGGGTCTCTGCAGAGGTTGTTCAGGGAAAGCAGGCCAGTAGGATGGGCCCTAATCCAGTAGGACTGGTCCTTGTAAAAAGGGGAAGTTTGGACGGAGACCCACACAGGGAAAGACGGTGTGAAGTCACAGGGAGCAGACAGCCACCTGCACGGCAAGGGGATGGGCCTGGAACAGCCTCGGGGGGGCCCACGCGCCCACACCTTGATCTCGGGCTCCCAGCCTCAAGAGCCGAAGGAATTGAACGTCTGGGGTTTAAAGCACCCAGTCTGTGGTACGTGTTACAGCAGCCACGGGGCCCTCGTGCAGGGTACGTTTAAAATGGAGCTGCAGTAAATGTAGGGTTTTCCCGGCAGACAAAGATGACTGCAACACAGGATCCGGGTAGAAAAGTCACAGGAGGGGTTTCCTGGTGGGGACACGTCTGGCCGCTTGGTTCCTCTGCTGGTTCAACGCCTTGGCTGACCTGCCGAGAGCCACTTCCTGAAGGAGGTTTGATGGGGGAGACAACAAAAGGGGGGGGGCGAGGGAGAAGTTTCACCCTCGTCATCATCTTGCCAAGGGCTGGCGGCCATGACTCGCGGGGAAACCACCTGCCCCGGCTGAGGCCACGGAGGACAGGAATGTGACCGCGTGAAACACTGCACCGCGAGTGGTGACGGCTACGTGAAACGCACAGACGAAACCCAAAGGCAAATAAACAGGAAGAAATAGCTACAGCGCGTGACAAAGGGGCTCTGGTTTTTTCCCGTCTGATAGAATCCAAGAGAAGAAGGCAGTTTACAAAAGGAGAAACACGGAGGAAGATGGGAGCCGCCGCCGGGCCAGGACACTCGGGCAGGACAGGAAGTGTGCGCGCCACCCTGCCGTGGCTGGGGATTTCTGCAAAGACCCAGCTGTCTCTCCCTGGCCCTCGCCCCTGCCTTCCCGGGTTCTCCTCAAGCAGAGGAGCGCCCTCCAGCGGTCCCAGACCCTCCCGGGGCTAACTCTTTCCAGCCAGCCTGGCTGAAGCCCTGGGCCTCCTGGGCACCCCTGAGACACACTCGGAAGCACACTTTCCTTTTGACCAATTTCTGACCCATAAAGCAGCGTTCCCCCCCAAGCTCTACCCCTCACGCTGCCTTTCTCCTCCAGCTGTCCCCACCCCACCGGTGACGGATTTCTCTTCCAGAACTAGAATTGTGAGGGTGAGGTGCTGGCTGTATCCCCAGCACCTGGAACCCTGCTGCCCAGTGGCACAGCTCAGAAAATACTTACCGAATGAATGAATGAATGAGATCAGCCCCTCAACCGGTGACTCCATTTAGTAGACAAACCCCAGCACACCAGACGACAGCCCAGGATGCCCGCACACGTGTCCCTCACAGCCTTTAAGGGCCACACCCAAGGGGCCTGCTTGTGTAAGACACGGTACATTCATAAGGGCAAGTAGCTGACGTGGAAAACGGCCACACGTGTGGTGTGATCTATAAACACGTGTATGTATGGAGGCTGGAAGGGCTAAACCAACATGTCGCATGGGGTTTGTTTTTCTGGGCAGTGAAAGGGCAGGGCCGTCCGGCAGCAGGAGCTGGCCTCGCTCATGGCTGGGCCTTGCTGTTTCTCTGTTGAACAGAATCAATTTCACGGAACACGAGCTCCCGGTGAGGCCACTCCGTGACCCTGACGGTCGAGACAAAAACCAGACACCCCGCAAGCACATCTGAGCACGGACGGAACGTGAACACCATCTGGGCTACGACGCACCAGACGTCCCCTCTCCTGGCTAAGAGGAGCGACCAATGCTGCTTTACCAGCCCGGCCCTGCCCTCCCTCTGGGCCACCCTCCCTGTAGGTAAGGTTTAAGATGTGGGTCAGAATCATCGCCCTTCCTGGGACACCAAATCAAGAGCCAGAACACCCTCCTAACACCCTCCCGGGAAGGACCCAACACAGCCCCCATCCTAGTACGCAGACCCTCGCCAGGCCCCTCACCCACCCCCCCAGGCCCCATGGTGTGCGTCTCCCTGTAACAACAGTCCCAGTTCAGGGGCCGTTCCTGGTGGTCCCTGGACCACAGCGATCAATCGTGGACTTCCTTTCTTCTTTGATGTAGTCCTAACTTTCCCTAGATTACGCCTATTATTACCTGTGCGATAAAACCAGCACTCAGGGTGACGTTGCGGGGCCAGCGTGCCCGAGAGCCAGGCGCCCACCTCCCACCGCACCTCAGCTTGCAGCCTGGGGTCTTTGGACACCTCTCCCAACCATCCCGGGCAACGGGGAAAGATGAAGGGAGGGAGGGGCAGTCCTTTTGTTGGGTCCTGTGTTGAGGGGTGGCCCCCCAGACCCCAGAACTTCTTACAAAGCAAGACCCACAGGGGTGAGGGCAGAATGGAGACCGGTGATGTTTCCATGGTGGGTTTAATAGAACCCAAGTTCTACTTGCTGGCCAGGGAGAAAGGAGACACAGAACAGGGAACAGAATTGTGGGGCAGGTGGCCCGCTGGGTCCTGACCCAGGGCACCTGGTTATTGACCAAGGAGAATTAAGAAGAGGAAGGTCCCTGCCAAGGTGCCCAGTTCAGCCCCACAAACACATTGTACACACAGCCAGGGAGCAGAGCTGTGAGCCACCCATCGCTCTGGGTCTGAAGGAAGGCAGGGCCTCCACAGAGCTCACAATCCTTGTTCTGAGACTGTCCCCAGAGCCTTCCCGAGCCCACAGTCTAGAAGAGAAAGGAAGAGCCATAGCCGGTTCCCACCCTGAGCTCACCTCCTAGCCCAAGTCCCTCCACCACACAGCCAAGGGAGAAAACAAGGTGTGCACGTGTGTGTGCGAAGATGCCAGGTAAGATGCAGCTGTGCCCGGAAGCATCTCCAAGGGTTGGAAATGGAAGGTGGGCGAGCAGGCCCGGGCGGCGGGGAGTCGGTCTCCACCAGGCACACTTGAGAAGATGCACCCCGCATGGGGGTAGAAGACCCTCAGCCTCCAGCAGTGGGAGCGGAGCCTGGGCCTGGGCCGTCCCTGTTGGATAGTCCAGCCCTGGGAACATGAAGCCCCTTTGGAGCAAGTTCTAGCTTTCTTCATTCAGGATGCACTTGCAGAAACAAAACATTCCAAAGCGCCAGGGAGAAAACTAATGCCCCGAAAGACAACCTGTCAGCGCAGCCAGAGGACGCGCGCTCGCTCCTGGGGACACGGACGCAGAGGGAGCCAGGAAAGCCTGGAAAACGAGGTTTCCAGAAAGACAACGGAAGGAACAGAACCGACTCAAAACCAGTAAATTGTTCAATAAGCCACACCCAACACGAGAGAGGATAAATAAAAATAAGACCCCGGGATGCACTGTTCTGAGACGGAGCAGATCAGCTCCCTGCCCGGGAAAGCAACTGCCCGGCCAGGGCAGCCTTCTCCCCGACTGTAAGGAGGGCTGTTGCTTTTCCAAAGCAACAAGGAAACAGTCAACCGCCACTTGCTGCCCAGCTGAAACTGGAAAACGAAATAAAGCCATTTTCATATCAAGACTGGGAGCGCTTCCCACCGACACATCCTGGCTACAAGAACTTTTAAAGGATGTATTTCAGCAGGAGGAAAAATAAACCCACAAAGAACAAGCAGGAAGCAACAACGAGCCAAACAAAACCAAACCCTCCCAATACACCAGTGTTGCGAAATCACATTTTTTGTTCACTGTAAACATATATGTATATACACACACACATACATATATATATATATTTTTTAAAGTACAATAAATCCCATGTAACAGTAACGCAGCAGCAAGGGGAATTCAAAGGGTGTTCAGACGCTAGTTCAAGCGAGTTAACATAACAATGTTTACCTTACAGAAAGATCAGAACTAGAACCAATAACGTCCAAACCAGCATAGGAAAGAAGGGGAGAGTTAGAGGGGTTCGTAATCAGTGATGCCAGGACAAGTCAACTTACAAACTGCCCCTCGTCGATGCCTATGACAGCCACGCCCAGAGCCTCGGGGACCACATCCCGGAGCAGGCAGGCTGGCAGCGCCTCCATGGTGTTCCTGGGGACAGAAAGCCAGAGAGATAGCGTGAGCCAGGCGAGGGAGCCGAAGGAGGCCAGGAACGGGGCTGAGGGGCCAGGGAACAGCTCTCATGAGCACCCCTCTACCTGCAAAGCAGGCTGTGATGTCGGTCCAGAGCTTTGAGAAGTTAGTGCCCGTGGGAAGGCATCGGGGGAGAATAAAGGCCTTTGTTCAGAAAACCAGTTATTCAGCAAGAGCTATTTCACTTCACGCTTTGGACTGGAAATTAGCAATGCCCGATGTAAAGCTCCACCCAGAGGCACAAGCTCTCCTCCGCTCTGCAGAGTGTGTGTGTGTGTGGCGGGGCGCAGACAGGGTGGCACTTCATCAGGCACAGTGCCCAGGGCCCGACATGCCTTAGGGGCCGACAAAAGGTTTTAATTTATTTAAAAAAATCAGAATAAATGTAACTCTGCCTAGATTCTACTTGTCTTTATATCAATGCAGCCATAAAGTATAATTTTTAATCTTTTTCTTTTTATAGAGGAAGGGCCCGCAAAGGCAGAAAGTCCCCAGGCCCCATGAAAGTCCCACCACGACCCCAGACAGACCACTAGCACCAGCCTCTAAGCCAGGGGGCCCTGCCGGCCCAGCAGGGAGAGGAGCCGCGAACACCACCCAGCAGTGCAGTGACCTCGAATTCCCTCCATTTGACTTCTCTGGCCAATTAAAGGATTTCTCTAAGATCATAGAGCTATTGACTAGCAGAGCAGGATTCAAATCCGCATTCATACTGCTGCCTCGTGTGTCCTGGGGGGAGCTTCCCACCCAGCTGTGTCTGAAAGTGAAAGGCCATGTGTGGGAGCGTTCCAGGGCGCTCGGGGACACACGGAGCCCACCCTGCCCCATGGCCTTTGGGAAGAGGAATACAGTTCTTTGTCCTCTGTCTGTTTAAGTAGTTTCTATGTTTTTCTACAATGTTATTTTCTTCTGTTTCCATTTCTGCTTGCTTCTCTGAATTAGCCTTCCAAGGAGCTAGGAGTTTGCTGAAGGCCCCGCAGTATGCAGCTACACGTGGATACAGAACCTTACAACTACTGCTTCATTGTTCTTTGGCCATAATCCTGTTTCAAGGTCTGGGATGAGCAGGAAACTGTCTCCTGTGTTTAAGAGTCCCCATCGTTCCCCAAACAGAGAAAACCAGAGAGCAGGCAAGGCAGCGGCTGGTTCTGGCGTCTCTGGAGCTCTGTCCCTCCTGCCGAGCGCTTGGCCCCGCTGCGGCGCGTCCAGGCCTCTGCAGCCCATGTTAGAGGATTTTGACATTGGGACAGAACTTGGATTCCACCCCATCTGCCCGACTCCAGAAGCTGCACCTCTAATCACTGCATTGTTGCCTCTTCTGCCTTCGCTGTCCACCCCTGACACTCCCCACTGTGCATCGGACACCTGTGTTCAAGGGATAAAGAAGCAAACATGGGGATGCAAATGACTTGCATGAGACGTGTCTGGGAAACGTCACTCGACATTTAACTTAACTCCAAGACCTGGGCCCTCTCTGCCTTACCACCTGCCTGGCTGTAGAAACCCCCACGCTCCCACCCTGAAGCCACACACAGCACAGCCATGATGCTGGGGGCTCACGTGGATTAGTCGGGAGGCTGAGAAAAGGGTCTCAGGCTCTGAAACATCAGGCCCCAATCCGCTGCAAGGAATGGCAGGAATGGTACCAAATTTAACCTCCCAGCCTCAGGCTGCAGGCTGAAATGTCCACAGGGCACAGGCAGGTAAACATGAAAGGTGGATGCAGCGAGACCACAAGATGAAGGAGTCAGCGAGGACAAGCCAACCAAAAACTTAAATAAAAATCAGTAGGTCTAGCGAGGGCTTCTCAACCGTGGCTAGACACTAGTGACATTCGGGGCTGGACCATTCTTTTTGTGGGGCTGTCCCATGCACTGTAGGATGTCTGACGGCATCCCTGCCCTCTGCCCACTAGATGCCAGCATGCCCTCCCCTCCTCCAGCTGTGAAAACTGAAAAACATCTCCAGACATTGCCAAATGTACTCTAGCAGGCAAAACGGTCTCCAGTGATCCAGTTAAGAATCACTGGGCTAGAGCCACATGAAAGTCCAAGTTCTAGGAGACCTGGCCCAGTAACCTGGAAAGTTTGTGGATTTTAAGGACTCGCTGCCAGGCAACAGCACTATTAACCATCCTCTCTCAAGAGCTATGAGGGCACAGTATGTTCTGTGCCCTGGGAATTTCACCGGGCTTCTCACAAAAGGTGTGGGGACAGGACGGAAGGGGCAGGGACTGACCGGTCGTGCGTGGAGAAGTTGTTGCTGTACCGCGTGTCTTTGGCATATTTGATCACCAGGCACTTGTACTGGGCAATCTGGAAGCGACGGACCCGTCTCATCAGCTCAGTACTGCAAGAGCAGAGCACCAGGTGAGGCCCACGGCATGAGAGTGGGCGAGAAGACCCCATCAGCCCAAGGTAGGCCCCCACTGCCTTCTAGGGGTGTACAGCCTGAGCCCCACCAAGGGGTGGAAAGCCGCCAGGGCAGGGTGTGGAAAGGACCCGTGAGGACAGAAAGGGCCCACACTAAGAGTTCACAGACTAGGCTTAAGAGAGGAACATGTCTGGGCTGGAAGTCGTTCTGTATGGGGAGGGTGGTAAGGAAGGGCCCTCAGGTGATCCAGGGAAGGGCTGGAGGAGTGACTTTCTCAGGGGCATGGTAGGTTGTGGGGGAGGAAAAGACCACATGCAAAGGAGGAGGTCCAGATCCCATTCCAAAGTAATCTCATCTCTGAATTAACTTCACAAAACCTTTTGGTACCACAAAGAAAGGGCTTTGTCTCTGGGTCCAAGAGTCCACCCTAAGCCTCACCCTCAAGGGAAGGGATTTGGGCTGGAGTGATCCCCCAGGGTCATACAGGAAGGGGCCTGGGGAGTCACTGGGGACCCCCTGGCCCCACCTCGGCCTGGGACTGGCTCCATCACTTCGGGGAAGCAAAGGCCCCACTTGACTCTTCAGTGTGGAAAGCAACTACCTGTCCTGGGCCACCTAAAGAAACAGTCACCCCGGAAGGAGGCCACAGATAGAGCAGGGCACACAGGTCTGGCCCACCGTGGTCGCCCCCTTCAGAGAAGACGTCTGTGAGGGGCTAAACTGTAAACACCTGTCACCAGCTCCTGGAAGGAGTGGTGGCTGAATGACCCCAAGGGAGGCAGGTTTGACCTGGGCGGGAAGGGGAGGAGCTCCTCCTCCAGGAGGGATTCCGGGAAGAAGCGGCATCCTCGGGGGAACGCGGGAGTCGGGCAGTGGGGGCTGTTCTAGAGGGGGTCTCTGAGAGGCGGAAGGCTCCGGGTAGGGGGCGCCAGGGGAGGAGGACGGCGTCCTGAGGGTTGGAGGAGGTGGGAGATAAGGAAGTCCCGGCCCACCCCCCGTCCCGCGGCCATTACCTTTTTCCTGAAAACATGGGTCCGAGAATCACCTAGGAGAGAGGGAGGGGACACTTAGAGGCCTGGTGGGCACGGCCACCCGGACCCCGGGCCCCGGGCACGACCCCGCCCCGCCTCGCGCCCGCACCTGGATCTGCCCCCGGGTCTTGCTGGGGGAGCCGGGAAGCACGTTGGGCAGGTTGATGCAGCTCATAGTGCCTCCTGGGAGACCGCGAACCGGAGACTCTCCACCGCCGCCTCCCCGCAAGCTTGCGCGGGTTTCCGCGCCACGATTCTTTATCCCCGGCGCTCGGGCCAATCGGGAGCCGCAGCCACCGTCCCGGAGCCAATCACCGCGCGGTCACGGGACCGGCGGGAGATTTGACCTCAGCCCGCCCCCTCGTGGGAGGCACCGGGAACGCGCGCCCGGCTCGTACGCCGGGGCGGTGGACGTAGCTCAGCGGGGCGGGGCCTGGAGGGAGCCCCGCCCTCCTGGTATTAAAGAGCGGGCCTTGCCCCTCTCAGAAGGTACGCAGCGGGATGGATGTTCTGGGCGGAGGCGGCGGACGCGGGGCTCCTTGGAGGAAAATGTCTAAAGAGGTAGGCGGATTTCCAGGAGCGGCTGGGGCCGAGGTGTAGCTCAGGGATTAGACGGGAGTTCTAAGAAAAGTTGAGAACCACTCCTGTGGGTGCCGTTAGGAGCCTGCTGTGGGCCATTCCCGAGAGCTTTAGCACTGTGATTTGTTTTACTTTTCGCTTCAGGCTGGTTTTCCTAGCCTGGTTTTAAGAGTAGAAAAAAATGAATCCCTGGCTGTGTTAATATCCATAAACCCAGCAGCGTTTGGGGTCGAAGTTCCCGACCTTAATCTGCGGTTATGCAATGTGTGTAGCGGATGTGTCAGGTGCTGAAGGAGGCAGAAAGGCTGGAATTTACCGCGGCGTGGTCGTGAGGGTTAGATACAGCCTATGCAAAGCATTGTTAAGATTATCATTCAATTATGATTTCCTAACTATTTTTCCTACATTTTAGGCAGTGGTTCTTTTTCTTGTCATGGACGCACTAAGAATCTGATGACAGTTATGGATACTGCCCCCAAGAAATTCCATCCTCTGTCTCTGTTTCTCACACACACATACACAAACCTGTAGTATGAGAGCACTCTCAGAAACCCATTACATTATCATTATCATAAGTTATAGCAATAAAGATGTTAATGATAGAGGTCACAGGGTGGGCCAGGTATCCTACAGGTACGGATTATATAGACCCAAAGACCCTTGGCCAAGAACCCTGCTCAGTGGGTAGAGGAGGTAACCCACATTTGCGTGGTTAGCTTTACTTCATTTACATGCCTTATATCTTTCAACCTTGTGAGGCTACTATTACAATACCCACTATAAGGAAGCAGGAACTGACTGTAGGTTAAGTGCCCCAGGGTAAAAGGGATAGAGCTTGGCTGGCACTGAGCCCATCTGACTCCAGAGCCCAAGACCTTTCCATGAGGCCACCCTGTCTTCAGATCTCCCAGTCCAGCCTTCACCTGTTTGTTTTGTTTTGTTTTGCCTTTGAGCCCTTTCTGCAAAACCTGGTTCCTCACTACTTTCTGCATTAAGTCTGAACATCGTATCTTGACATCCGAGACCCTCCACCCTCCAGCCCTAGCTTCCCAGCCTCACCTCTGTGTTTCAACAATCTGGCTGGTCAACATTTCCTAGCTGACCTTTGATTCCTTCCTCTTCACCACTGTGCCTCTGACTGTGCTGTGTCCTCCTGCCGTCAGAATTGTACCCTCTCAGGGAAGATCAGCTCCACGCCACTTTCTCTGCAGTGGCCACCCCAGCTCCCTGGCCTCCCATGGTCTTAACTGCTATAGAAGTGGTACCCTTGGTGGCATTCACTGGGACACATTTACGGAACCTCATCTCCCCTTTAAGGCTGTCCTCTTAAAGGCACAGTCACTGCTCTAGACCATGAATCTGATGGCATCTGCAATGTTGTATCTGAAACATGTAATTAATTAGTTGGGGGGAAAGTGGGGAGCGGGTTGTTAGGTTGGAGACTGGCGGGAAGGAAGCTGAGGGCATCTGTGAGAAGCTGAGATATTGGGGAGGGGCTTCTCCAGGCTGAAAGGAGCATCCAGTCATGCAGAGGGGCGGGGGCACTATGCGTGGAGGTCAAAGATCTCAAAGAACCTTGTGTCTGTGTCCCGTAGGAGCTGGAGAATCAGTACTCCCCCAGCAGATGGGTCGTCCGACGGGGAGCAGAGGAGGCCATGAGGACCTACTCACAGATAGGAGATGAGGGTACCAGGGGACCTCTCTGTGGCTGCTTCGGGTGGACTTTAGCACGTGGCAGTGGTGCAGAATGCTGGGGGATGGAGGAGGAGTCACAGCACCCCAGCCTCTCGGAGCAGTTCCCAAAGTCCAGGCACTGCGTCTGAGGAGGGAGCCAGGCACCCAGGAGCCCTTGCTGCCAAACAGGGGCAGGCAACCATGCTCCACTTCGCCTCCTGCTCAGCCAACCAGCCAGCGGTGCCCAGGCCCTAAGGCCATACTGGCACAGGGAGGCGGAGTGAAAAAAGGAAGGCCCCCACCTCGGTTGCTGAACGTGGGATGTTGTCACTATTTACAAAAAAACAACCCCCCTTTTTTTTTAAAAAAACTAGGACTTGGGAATCTGTAGGCTAGTGAAGTCTCAAGGTTAATTTCCATCCCTGCCCCATGTCTTTAGAGCATTGTACCACCGCTGAGCTGGGCACGCGGGCTCCCTTGGGGGAAGTGTGGGTGAAGATGCAGCCAGCCTCTCCTCCAAGGAGGGAAAACTGGGTGTTGGCAAATGCCTTGTTTCGGCAGACTGAGTGGAGCTCCTGCCCGGGTTGGTGGTTGTCTTCACTGAGATAGCCCAGCAGGAGGAACAGGCTTGTGGGGGTTTGTTCCATCATGTTTCAGCATCTTCCCTGTCCCGATAGGGGATGGAGCTGTGTCCTGGGGCCCGCTGTGCTCAGCTCTGTGCCAAGTATGTCTCTGTGTGCTCAGTATATATTTGAGTGTGCGATGAAACCTTCATGAGCTGGTAAAACCTGTTTGTCTATCATAATTGTCTTGAGGGATAAAAGAGTTGACCCCATAGAGAAAGCGAGTCACTCAGAAGAAGAAAGAGTGGCGAGTGTGCTGCCCTCAGAGGCTTTCTTTAGCAGTTGCTCCCAAGAGGCCCTCTAGACAGCTTTACCTTCATGTCCCACCTCCCTTCCAATTTTCGATGCTACAGCTGGCACAGAGGTGCCACAGGTGCATCTGACCCATTTTATCAGTGAAGCAGATGAATGTCATAACAGAGGGGCAGTAGGGCCAGGTGAGTGAGCAGAGCCATGCATGGGTGGGTTGGAGCCTGTCTCTATTGGAAATGTTGACATTTTGTTTGTCACGGACTTTTTGGTGTTAATTTTTGGGACGGGTATAGCTCAGTGGTAGAACGTGCACAAAGCCCTGGGATCAAGCCCCAGCACCTCCATTTAAATAAAGAAATAAACCTAATTACCTCCCCCCACAAAAAATACTGCTTTTAAATGTGATGTATCTTTGTATTGGTCAGGTCAGGCTGCCATAACAAAATCCCGTAGGCTGAGTGATGTGAGCAATAGGAGTCTCTTCCTCACAGTTCTGGAGGCTGAGAGACCAAGATCGAGGTACCAGCTGATTTGGTTCCATGGTGAGGGTCCTCTTCCTGGCTTGCAGACAGACTCCTTGTCGCTGCATCCTCACATGGCAGAAAGAGAGAAAAAGAAACACTCTTTCTTTTTCTTCTTATAAGGTTACTAATCACATCACAAGGGCTCCACCCTCATGACCTCAGCTAAACTAAACTACCTCCCAAAGTCACCACCTCCAAATATCACCCGATTAGGGTATGAGTTTGGCAGAGGGGCGCAAACATAGAGCCCATAAGGACCCTCATTACTGAATTTCTGGTGCCCCCCTCCCCATGCTGTGCCTGGGGCAAGTGCCTCACTCGCCTCACCCTAGTCCAGGCCTTCCTTGATGAGGTTAAATAACTTAGCCAAGCTCACACAGCAAGTGACAGTCACCACTTGCCCGAGCTGAGCGTCCAGGGGAGAGTGGAGCAGGCTGACAAGGGGTGATGATGGTCAGGTGGCATCGATGAGTGCCCACCAGCTGGCCTCTCCTAGTGGGGTTCCCCAGATGTCATCAGTGCTGCCTGGGGACTTGCGGGTCACCTCATTGGAATCAAACTCAGGAGCTGGAGATGTAAAGTGGAAAAAATGAAAAACTCTCCTGCCAACCCAGAAAACCTCTCCACAAAGGTAGAAGAGAAAGATACATGATTTTCTATTGAGTAAGGATGAAGCCAAACTGTGATGTGTATCACAGACAAGCCGCTAAGGAGACTGCAAAACCAGAAAGAAGCCTCTCTTTCACACAGCCAGGGATGTATCACTATTGCATACCGGCTCTCGAGATGGATACCTGTACTCGAGCAAGAGGACCTGAAGGCACCATCTGCTGCAGTAGTCCATCCTAAATCCACCTGGTAATTAAGGTGGCCATCTGTGTTTGCAATTTGCCTTTATCCAGAGGAAAACGAAAAATTCCCATATCCTTAAGGCAAGAGATCGTTTTGCCGCTTGGAGCCAGGTGCCTACAGAAGTTAGGGTCCCGCCCCACTACAGAATCTGGGTTATTTCCCCCGGTGATTACATTTCAAAGAGATGAGTCCCAGGTCCTTGAGAAAAGCATTCCTAGGTTGTACAACTGGCAAGAGACTCATTGAGCTTTTTTAAGTATTTACATACATCTCAAAGGGATGGAGAAAGGATTTATGGTGGTAAGTTTCCTAAAAATAAGTGCTCTAGGAAAAGGGAGGTAGGTAAACTCTCTTTTACTTTTTTTTTTAACGGAGTGGGGGGAGGATTGAAATTGTTTCTCTTGTGATTTGTATTTATCCTTCCAGCGGCAACCTGTAACTTGCAGTGGGGGCTGTCCTCTTCCAGTGAGTGGATCACTCTTACTCGCCATCAAGGCTGGGCACCAGGTCTCAGTGAAAATACACTGTGCAAGAAACTAAATGAGGTGTATGTAAAACTCCCGGGCTCGGGTGCTGTTTCAAACTCCCAGTCCCCCAAGCCACGCCTCCCCCAGGAGGACCAATCACCAACCAGGTGGGTGGGGCCTCGTGATTGACAGCCTCCGAGACTGACAGTGTCCCCGCGGGCCCCTCCTGCCTTAGCAGGCTGGGGTTGGGCTTTTCCCTCTCCACTAGAAAAACCAAGGGAAGAAAACAAGACACGTAAAATACAGGTCCTAATTGTGTTTTACTGGGGTAAAACGCACATAGCATCAAATGTACCATTTTAACTATTTTAAAGTGTACAATTCAGCAGCATTTAGTATACTCACAGTGTGCAAATCATCACCTCTGTCTAGTT